CATTCCTTCAGATAAGATTGAAGTCTGCTGTTCATTTCCCCAGTTCTATGCAGGATTCTTGTCTGCCTGAGTTTGCATGGGACTCGTGTATGCTGACACCTTTGCCATAGAATCATACGAGCAGGTTCCCAGGAGCTTGTAGGTCTCTGTTTCCATATGGTCCTGCACCTCCTCCCTGGCTCTTACAATCTTTCCCCTCCCTCTTCCGCAATGGTCCCTGAGCCTTGGGTGGGTGAAGTTTTATAAAGGGGTCCTGTCCAAGGACCAGCATGCAGCAGACTCTTGATCTCTACACTTTGGCTATTTGTGACCTTTTGTGTTTCGGGCTCTCCACTGCATGATGAAGCTTCATTATTGAGAATTGAGAGATTCATTAGTGTCCTCTTCTTTACCCCTGTTCTATGCTCCATGAGCCTTAGGTATGGAGGTTACATTGTTGATGTGTCACTTAGGCCTGGGCAGTTCATAGACAATGTCTGTGTGTGACCAGTTGTTACGGTACTTGGTAATAGTTTTAATTGTGTGTGTGTGTGTGTGTGTGTGTGTGTGTGTGTATGTGAGCGCATGCACATGTGTGCATGTGTGTGTGTGCACACATGGCCTCAGGTGTCCTCAGAGGCCTGAGGCATTGGGCCCTGTGGTTGTGAGCTACCTCATGTGAGCTGGGAATTGAACTCCAGTCCTCTGTAAGAACAGAACTTGCTATTAACTGCCAAGCCATCTCTTCAGCCCCACACCCAGCATTTTAAAATGGGGAATTGGAGATAGAACTTGAGTCCTTATGTATTACTTTACTGGCTGAGCTATGGCCCCGGTTCCTCTTCTTTTCTTTTGATAAGAGGAAACAAGAAAGATGGATAATTGCTTTGGGCACTTGGAAGGATTTAATCTTAAAAATGTCAACTGAGTTAGTGACAACAGGGTATAATACTCTTATCAGGGCACCCTTCCTCTGTCATTAAATGCAGGCTGGAATCCCCACTGAAGAGAGTCTCCCTAGCCCCAGCACTTAGGGTAAGCATCTGGAATGCAGAACAGGGTTTCCCAGTGGATGTAGCTGGCTAGCTATCCTTCTTGTAAACTTATTAGGAGCCAGTGTGTGTGTGTGTGTGTGTGTGTGTGTGTGTGTGTGTGTGTGTGTGTGTGAGAGAGAGAGAG